TAATCAAAATAAAAACAAAATATTAAATTGAATGTTCGAACAGACCACCTTCTGGAGTTTGACAGAAACCTAACCTGTGCGAACATTTTCCGGTGTAACATATTGGCGACGCGGCAGATTTTGCGACCTTCTGCGTCACCGTTGCTAGGTAATGTGGTGATGACATTCGCTTTTCAGCCGGCTTCTATCTCTTTCTAACATGTGTTGATACACACTTCCGCTTGTCTCGAACACATTGAAATCAAACCGTCAAACAAATTTGGTTTTTCCTATATACAGGGTGTCCCAAAAAAATTGTGCAATATTCTACCAGCGGTTTCTAGAGCTTAAAATAGGAAGAACAGTTTATATAAACATAGGTCGACAAACGTCCCCTAAGGGCGCTACGGTCTTTTAAAGGGGCTCCAGTGAAGATGGTTCATCCTTAATATTTCCGAAACGTGTTGAGATAAAGATATAAAGTTTGGTATTCTAGCCTAGTTTTTTATGCTGGATTTAAAAATATTAACAATTTTAGACAGTTTTGTTTGGAAGCGTATGTAACAGGGACGGACTCAGGTTTTTTAGCCCCAAAATTTATGTGTGATTCTATTTTTGAAATTCAATTTTAGAGTTTGAAAATTTAGGGTTTTCTACATAAAAAAGTTACTCTTATTGAATGTCGATAAATTATGCCATTTTTGAATAAAATCAAACTAAAAAATTTGTCACATGATAGGAAAAGTACTGCGAATTTAAATGAATTGTTGAATAATTAGCCATGGCAATGAAAAAACTAATTTAATAATTGCTAAATACTACATAAATACATATTTATATTGCAACATAGCTAACATTTAGGTAAAAACAAAAGAAATAAATTTTTTCTACGAACGAAATTGAAATTTGTTTAAAAAAGAAGACATACAGTTGGATTACTTAAAGCTAGCTTTACAATAAGTGTTCAAATAAATTCCCATTTTGTTGGATACAGAGTCTCGCTCGACGAACCAATGATTGCATAGCCCGAAAAGTGGAAAACCTTTTTCTTCTTATTCTATAAAAACCATCTTCAGGGGAGCCCCTTTAAAACACCGTAGCGCCCTTAGGGGACGTTTGTCGACCTATGTTTATATAAAGTTTTCTTCCTATTTTAAGCTCTAGAAACGCTGGTAGAATATTGCATACTTTTTCGGGACACCCTGTATATACAGGGTGACTTTGAAGTTGAGTCATTAATTTTCAGATAATGATTGTAGCAGGAAGATAAACCCAAAATATGTGTGTAAAAATAAAAAAAAATTAAAAAAAGAATGTTACCTTGTTTTATAAAGTATCCTCCCGACAAGTATTTCAGTGCGGACCTGTATTTGATCGTGCGGTCTTGGAGCACCGGCATGCCCTCCCCTGTGAGGTCTTAAGGCACCTGATTCACGAGCCCTTTGTACTACATTAACAAAGGCACGAGGGGTTGGTTTGCACTCGATTGGGAAACCGATCCGCATAAACCGTGATGCCGCGGCAGCATTTTGTAAATAAGAATCATGTCCACAAGTTCAGCATTTTCGTAAACATGTGCCATTGTTGATTTCGTTTGAGCCACGCAACAGACACCACTATTCACTCACGCGTTACCGACTGACACTGACTGTATACAACTGAATAAAATAATTGTAAAACAATCGTTCCAAATTCTTTCGCTTTTTTGTTTCCGATGCGATGAACCAATAAGGCGGATTATATCCGTTGTTGCCAAACACGAGCACATAATATTATTATTGAGACAGGGCGGTACTCAAACTTCCAAAGGGCTATAACTTTGTTACTTTAATTTTACCAGAAAAATGGTAAAGGAAAAAAACATTTCTTTTGATCAGATCTACTCACTGTTAAAATAAATGACCTCAACTTCGAAGGTCACCCTGTATATATGTGTATATACAGGGTGTTTCAGTTTATTGTGCATAACTTTAAGATTCGATAGAACTTTTAAAATTAATGCATAAAGTCTATATAAACATGGGTCGAAAATGCGTGGCTTCCGAAATACAGGGTGTTTAAATTTTCTTTCTAAAATAGTTTTTTTTAATATTTCGAACAATATTTGATGTATAAGAGTGAAAATTGGTATACAAGAGTTTTTGGTACGACAAAACAAACCATGGGCATAGTTTTACTGCAGCCGCTAGAGGGCGCTCTCTACTGTACCTGTAGTGTATTAAAATGACCGAAATTTTTTTCTTAGTATAATTTTTTGCTTTTTGAATAAAAAAACTGATTCTTCGCACTTTTCAACATAAAAAAGCTCTCTTGTGAATTTCGTTATAGTTAGCCGTTTTGAGATATTTCGATTTTTAAGGTTCGATGCATTTTTAATTATTTATGATAAAATAACGTTAAAAAGTCAGTATCTCGATAATTTTTAGAAGTAGGCTGTGCCTGCAAATATTTTTGAAATTGAAAGCAGAATAAGGTTAAACGTCAATTAGTTGACAGTTAGTTTTGTTGTCTGTTGAAACGTGAAACGATTTTTTGCAATTGTGAATGCACGAAATGTAGTTTCTTTTACCTGTGTTTTTTTTTTGTAAGTTTCATAAAAATGCCATTTTTATTCTCCAATCAAGAGTTAGCGGATATTCATTTTGTGTATGCTTTGTAAATGGAAACGTAGCAGAAGCAGCCAGAGAATACGCTCCAAGATTTCCAAACAGACGACATCCAACTCACTCAGTATTTGTAAGAGTGCATCGCCAAATAATTGAAAATGGTTTTGGAAGTCTCCAAAGGGATCAAAACATAAATGTTCGTCAGCGCAGATTTACCCGTATGATTCTGCGTGAGTTTGATAGAGATCCGACCACAAGTGTTAGGAGAGTTTCTGGTGCCTTGGGAATTTCAGCAAGCCATGTTCACCGTGTTCTTAGAAATGACTATAGACGTCCTTACCATTTGCAACCTGTGCAAGGACTACAGCCAGGGGACGGAGAACGAAGAATCACATTTTGTCAGTGGATTCTTGATAGAACTGATAATAATAGGGAGTTTTAAGTAACGTTTTATGGACCGATGAGTCATGCTTCACTAGACGTGGAGTGGTAAATTTTCATAATTAACATATTTGGTCGCATGAAAATCCGCATGCAGTTCGGGAAAGAAATTTTCAGCATAAATTTAGTGTGAACGTGTGGATTGGTATCTACCGTAATCGACTATTTGGACCCTACCTTTTGCCTGCAAGGTTAAATGCTGCGACCTTCTTGGAATTTTTAAAGGCTGAACATGCAAATATGTGGGATGTTGTTATAATAGATTTAAGAAGATTGGCCTGGTTCCAGCTTGATGGTGTCCAGCTCATTATTCGAGAATAGTTAGAAACTGACTGGACGAAATTATCCAGAAAGATGGATCGGCCGTGGAGGACCAGTCGCCTGGCCTGCTGATTCTGACGTTTAGTGGGACAGAGATTCACTTCACTATAATTCACCATGCAGAGCCATCTAAGAGGAACTAATGGTATCAAAATATGAATTGTGCATCCCTATAACTGAGAACATAATCTGGAGTCAAACGCGAAACATTTTTTTGCGGACTGTTGACTTGTTTTTTTAGTTCTCGGACCATAATTTGGCGTAAATTCTCATCGTGCGACATTCGCCTTAGTCAATTTCCAGAGAAACTATTGTTTTTGGTCAAAGCTTGCTACTTCGGTCTTTAAAACTTCGGCTTACAGAGATAATGAAAGTTCTTTCAACTTTTTCTTAGCAATGTTAAATAACTAACTAACTAACTTATAGATTTTGATAAATAACTTAATAGTAGTTTAAACTTTGACTTAGATCATCTCATCCTTCCAGACAAAGCCCGAAACACCAGAACGCAAAACAGCACTTATCCAGCCCCAAATCCAGCAGTCATCACTTCAACAGCCTCAAATTCAGAATTCGCAAAGCCATAGCGTTAACCAAACAACTAGTTCGCAAACCACGTGGCAAAACTCTCACTTCACCAGTATCAACAGTTGCAGACTATCTGTCACATCTGCCGGCTTCCACGTTGCCACTGAGTCTACATCACTTCCTCAAATACTCTGCAGAAAACGTGAAGAAGGAGAATGTCATACAGCAGCCCACTGTTCAGAGGTGAGTACGTTGTACCTAGTCATAAAAACTGCTATTTTACCTACCAGACTATAGGTGTATAATAGTTATTTATTATATAAGGGAAAAAAGTACTAGATTTTAGCTTCAGGTTGTATTGTCTCTCGACGCTAAAATCTAGTATTTTTCCCGTGTATAATACACAATTTTTTTTCTGTGACGAGAAAAACGACGATTTAATATTGAAAAAATATATTATTACATATTTAAGTCAGTAAAATAATCGATGTGAAATTTGAATTTGAAATTAGTAGGGTATGTTGTACTTATAGCGACAGTTAGACCTGCGTTGCTAAGGAAACTTTTAAAGTAATCAAATAGCGGTCAATTCAATTTTGTGATTTGATTTAAAAATTGTGAATTTAGTGGTTGTTTAGAAGTTATTTTTAATACTACAAAGTAAAAAATGTCTGATTCCAAGTTTTCTTTGACTCCACCTGGATTTAACCAAAGTAGAGTCACAAAATTATTGACACCTAAATCGCGGAAAATTTACGAAAGCGCGTATTCAAGTTTCATGGAATGGAAGATGAAAAAACATTCAGTTCTTTGTCGGAGACGACATTAATAATAATAATAAACGGCTTTATTGGCGGAGTTTAGCACAGCTATTCTTACACTCAACCTTTCTAAAGACTAAAGCTTGATGCTAATTTGACATACAGATATGTTATTTTACTTTGAAGTTGAGTCATTAATTTTCAGATAATGATTGTAGAAGGAAGTTAAACCAAAATATGTGTGTAAAAATAAAAAAAAAATAAAAGAAATGTTACCTTGTTTTATAAAGTATCCTCCCGACAAGTATTTCAGTGCGGACCTGTATTTGATCGTGCGGTCTTGGAGCACCGGCATGCCCTCCCCTGTGAGGTCTTAAGTCACCTGATTCACGAGCCCTTTGTACTACATTAACAAAGGCACGAGGGGTTGGTTGCACTCGATTGGAAAACCGATCCGCATAAATCCGTGATGCCGCGGCAGCATTTTGTACTGTTCGTAAGTCAGTGTTGATTAAATCATTTGCCTGTACCACAAGAGATGGTTCAAAATGAAACAGAAGCTGCGTGTCATCAGCATAAGATTAAATGTGTGAGTACTGTACGGATTTCCAGATATCAGGTGTGTATACAATAAATAACAACGGTCCTTAAACAGAACCTTGAGAAACTCCTGATGTTATTGTTGTTATCTCAGATCTTTTGTTATGTAGAATAATGCTTTGCTTACGAAGACTTAAGTCATTGCAAAGTAAGTTCAACGCTGTATGGTCAAGGCCATAATGTTGAAGTTTAGCGCACATAAATGAATGGTCAATGGTGTCAAAGGATTTTGAAAAATCCAAGGGTATAAGTAGAGTGGCCAGCCTCTTATCTAGCGACCGTATAATTTCATCATTAAGATTTAAAAGAGCAGTGGTTGTATTATTATTAGAAATCAAATTGACTTGTCCGAGCGTTTTTCCCAAAATATACCAGGAGCCTCACAAATGGGGGTGCGACCTTTTCGTTGGACCAGTCTGTATATTTGTCTAGCCAGGCACATTACACATATTTCCGAAATTAGCGGGTGTGTTCTTCTACTTGTCATGGCAACGATAGTCAGACTGGAAAGGTGTTCTCAACCCAGAATTTAGGCTCCACCACCCCTTTTTATTTTGCGTTATTACTTACAGAAATATACCACAAAATTCACCAGAAAGCAATGGAAACATACTCTCGAATAATATCAACGGGGTAGGCAACAACAACAATTTGAACTCGAATCTTAGTAATTGGGTAACAGTACCATGAATTTAAGCACTTTGACCACGATAAATACTGCACAGCTGCAGAATGGAGCTACTCCGCCAAAGAAAAAGAAAAAGAAGAAACCTGAGAAGGAAAAGAAGCCCAGACCAAAGCCAGGTAAATTCCATTATGTGTAAAAAATGACCAAACACTTTTTTCAGAATCGAAAGATTCTGAATCAGACTTTTCGTAATTGAACAATGATAATGATAATTGTTTCTCTTTTCTTTTGAAATCGATCATGTTATCCTAGTTAAAAAAAGGACCTTATACATGCCACTTTATAGTTATAGGGTTTATTTTCTTAGTTTAGATAATTACTACCGTCATAAGGTGGTTCTAGATTTTCTCCAACATTCTTTGACTCAAATGCCATAATTTGTAATTTTCTTCAAAATAGTCTTTTTAGTCCTTTTCATTAATGATGTACTGGTTGCAATGCAGTTGGTCCACTGAAGCATTTTTATACAAAATGTCTATATCGGATGCTCCAATTTTTTGACGTCTTGTAAAATTTTTATTTTACAAAAACTGACTTTGAGGATAATTGTAAATTCAAGTTATGAGTGCAGAAAACACTTCAAATATCTACAAATCTAAAAAAAAACTACCACTAACACCTATTTATATTTTTATGAGCACAAACATCTAGACAAATATGAAACCTCTGCAGAAATACTCGCCCATGTACTATGTAATATTAATTATCTATACTCGCGACTGAATATGACTAAAGATAATTGACCTCATATTAGTTTATATAATTTATTCCTCAATGCAAATAGAGGACACAAGACAATATGTCTAATCGCTGATTTTCAAAGATTCCTAAAAAAGACATTGCTTAAACTCTGTTGCTATTCAATTGTCGGATAGAACTCGAATTATAGATTTTATGATAGTTTGTATGACCTCACACGTACATTGTATATAATTTGCTATGGTATGTTATAGCAAGCTGCGGGAATGGAACATTGTAGAAACACCCGATTTGAAAAGCCTCTTAATTTGATGAATTTCTTTAGGAGAAATACGTCTAACCACTGCCCTGGACGGCTCAACTCTCTATTGCTGTCCAGAATGTCACATGGCTTATCCAGAGAAAGAGCTTCTGGAACAACACCTGGTGGGCCATACGCTGGAGAGAAGGTTCGTCTGTGACATTTGTGGTGCTGGATTGAAGCGAAAAGATCATCTTACGAGGCATAAGCAGTCTCACAATCCGGAGAGGCCTTATGTCTGTACTGTTTGTTTGAAGGCATTTAAGAGAAAGGTAAGTTTCACTATGTTTCAGAAGAAACATTGAGGCGTCCAGCCGGCGTTCCGGGCCGTGACAGCGAAAAGAGACAGCGACGTTAAACTAAATTCATTTTCGAGGAATAAGACACTATGCCAGAATAGTTAGAGCCGGTTTCAGTGCTTAAGCGGACGATGTCAGTGTTAAAAGTAGACTGTCACAGGTAATATTTCCTCGAACTATCATAGATGTTTGCTCAAACTATATGTGTGTGTGTAGACGACTGTAGTGACTGTGATAGTGTTATTTTTGTTACCAGGGTTTGAAGCCGCAGTAATAATCGTTTTGACTGACTCAACATAGCTTTAGACGGCGACGTGCGACTGAGGTCATGCTTGGCCAGTGCTTTTAGGCAACTTTGCCGAGTTTGCTGTTTAGCATCAAAATACGTAAGGTTTGACTAGTTTTTATCGCATCATATCAGAAGGCAATGATGTCTGCTCTTAGACTATTGCTGGTACAAATAAACGGGGATCTGCGTCGTTGGTTTGGCGGTTCGTTAATAGATGACCCGGCGTCTACCGATGCCAAACTGACATATAATGTTTAGAATACGCTACATGTATATTGAGCTGAATGGAGTTGAGTTGAGTTCCTTTCGTGGTTTTTGGTGGTTACGTCAAAAAGTCATAGGAAATAAAGAGAAAACGTAAAAATTTTTTGGAAATTTGTTAATAGCCGTAAGGATTATCATTACATACCTTCAGAAGTACATTATAATAATGTCAGTAGTTCTTCTGTTTTACAAATCACCAATTGGTTTGCAGATTACTTCTCTAAAACTTACAGTGCAGAGAATAGTACTGTTCATAATAGTAATCTTTCTTATGGGGCCATCAATTTGTTTAATTATGAAATTCCAATCTCAGCCATCTATGAAAAACTGTCCAAATTAGACGTTAATAAAGGACCTGGACCTGATGGTGTACTTCCGTTATTGATTAAACATTGTAGCTTTCTGATTTCTAGACCTCTATTTTATATTTTTAGTCTTTCGTTAAAAAGTGTAACTTTTCCGGAATGTTGGAAAACAAGCTTCATTACTCCAATACTGAAATCTGGAGATCCTTTACTAGTCAAAAATTATCGACCTATCAGTTAACTGAGTTGCATTGGAATGGTATTTGAGAGGCTAGTGTGTGAATTTTTACCCGAAAACTTGCAAAGTAGTTTTATAAGCCAAAACGCTCCACAGAGTTAAATCTTTTAACAGTCACAAACTATGTTTTGGAATCCTTGGAGGAAGGGTATTCTGTTCACGTAGTGTATACAGCTTTTTCTAAAGCATTCGATAAGGTCAAACAAGAGATCTTGATTAATAAGTTACACTGTCTAGGAATTTGCGGGGATCTTTTATCATGGCTGAAGTCTTACTTCACTGACCGAAAACAAATAGTGCGTATACAAAGCTTTCAATCAAATGAGATTAATGTGCCATCTAGAGTACCTCAAGGTTCCCATTTGGGTCCTCTCATTTTCAATATATACGTGAATGATATTATATACTGTTTTAAGTCTGTTAGTTTTGTAATGTTTGCAGACGATATGAAATTATTCTTAAAAATCAGATATAATAATGAGTGTTTAAATATCCAAAATGATTTGAATTCATTAAGTCTCTGGTGTCAAATGAATAGAATGGAACTTAATGTGGAAAAATGTCATTTAATGATCTTCAGCCGTAACAGGGACCTCCCTGATCATACTTATACCATGAAAGGTTGTCCTCTAAAGAGTGTATCCCAAGTTAGGGATTTAGGGGTAATTCTTGACCCAAAATTATCCTTTATTACCCATATAAATATGACTGTTTCTAAATCTCTTCAACTGTTGGGATTTATAAAACGATGTGCTACGGATTTTCATAATATTCAATCATTTAAAACGTTGTTTTGTTCTTTATTGGGGCCCCAAACAAAACATTATGGTTGAAGATATTATCTATTCCGTCATTGAAAGCTCTCACAATATCTCAACCCTTCAGGTAAGACGGAATCAGAGGGACCTGTCACTATTTTATATTGTGCACTCTCTTAGGTTTGCTCCAGAACCTTTGAAAAATATTAATCTCCATGTGCCTTCTCGTCAAACAAGACTGAATCAACCATTCCATCTGAGATCATTTCGTAGTAATTATGCTAGTAATTCCTTCCTGTCTAGATCTTCAAGGTTAGCAAATCAGTATTCTAAAAAGTTGGATTTCTTCAGAAGTCAGAAAATATTCAAAATTCGATTAGATTCCTGTCTAATATTTAATTTTTGATTTCCCCATATATTTAAATTTTAATTAAATTCGTTTCAATTTAGAAAAGATCTGGATTGTAAAGTGTTTGTGATTGTTTTATAAGTGTTAAATATCTAAGTCAAAGTAGGGTTAGGTTTACATTAGATTTTCTATGATGTACTTTAATTGGGCAGTCGCTCGATGATAAATAAATAAATAAATAAACATATCGTCTTAAGGCCAGGCGGTCTAGACAACTGGCAACCATGTCAAATACACCGACGATTGGTCAAATAAGCAATTTGAGGATAGAGAAAAGTTAAATTTCAAGCTGACGTTCCTCTTTTGTTACGAAAGCAATATTCCGCGTAAAGCCCAGAATCTAAATAGCTATGATAACTACAGGTTTTAAGAACAATTTCTGTTTACATGACTCTGAGAACAGCAACAGTGTGATTTATAATTTTATTGAATGAAAAATATATTTTGCAGGCTGCAAAATAAATATCCCCACTATGAGTAAATTTCCAAATATAAGTAAATTTGAACGAAAAATGCTTTCGCGAGAAGTGATGGTGATTAAAATCATCCAAAAAGGATTATCTATCTGACAACACGGCAAATAAAAACAGGAGGGTTTAGATGCCATCAGCTGTTTTGTGGCCACTATGTTTTGGGTTACATCTCGTATCTCTAATCTGCCAGCCTTGTCTGTCTTCTCTTGCTGTAACTACATTTTTATAGAACAGTGGGATTCGATGTTGACATCTGATTTGTTAAGAATCCCCTTATATTTGAGACAAGTCTAATTTAGGATGGCATTATAATCAAAATTTCCATTTCAACGAGCACGTGGGAAAGTTGTGTGATATTTGATTTGTATTGCTTCAGGAACAACTCACTTTACACTTTGTGATACATTCTGGCGAAAAAGACATGTCTGCACCGAATGTGGTAAAGGTTTCTACAGAAAGGACCATCTGAGAAAGCATACAAGATCACATATTGCGAGGAGAGTCAAAGCGGAGCTATCTCAGCAAGGTAAGCAACCATAGGTAGAAAAAATTTCGTATTTACATTGTTGAATATAACGGTCGGCAGGGCTATTGTTATTACGTAAAAAACATGTAAAACGTAAAAAAAGACAAAACGTCAACTTGCTGCCTAGGTAGTTCCTAATGTGCAAATAGTACATCCCGCGTATGCTCGCTATGAGCGCATCAAAAGCATCTATATCTAAGAAGTAATGAGTCATTGACACGACACGCTCAATGACCATGCTGTAAGCTGTAAGTCAGTTCCCCATTTTTTGTATATTTGAATTGATTTTATGAAGTGTATTGTGTATTGAACGATCTGGACATACATATTGAAAACGACACTCGGAATCAAAACATTTTTAGGTGATATATCTGTGCACGCGCTGGCTATATTTGGTAAAAGAGACCAGATTAAATAGTTGTTGCGTCCAACAAAATGTATCATCAGTTCACAGTTGCTACCCGCAGGCTGAAAATCAACCAGATTAAATTTCAACTTTGTCCAATCTCCAAAGCAAAAGTTATAAGATGGATGGGACCTAGGGCCATCTTGGCGTTCGTAAAGGTCGTTCTACTTTGGTAGAGGCGTAAACGGTACCCTTAATATGTAACTTCAAAATGACACGGGTAGCGATCTGATCGCCATAATTGTCACTTTGGAACTAGTTAACATTCACTTCCATGTTCACTTGTAGTAGTTGTGTGTGGTGCCTAAACGTCAAGATACTTGAGCTGTGTACTGTAACTCTGGTTTAGAGATGACACTAGCGGACGCCAACGGCACACTTCTGGTGGTGGCTGGTATCCCGCCAATTGATTTGCTGGCAGAGGAGAGAAAGGCCGATAGGTCAATATTGTCGAACCTGAGAGTGGTTATAAAAGCTTTACCCTGTCTAAAAACAAAAAAGCGGAGGCAATTCATAGTTTCTCTAACCTAAGCTGTAAGTCGTTGCACTATTTCTCCATAGGTGGCGTTCCCAGCTATGACGCGTGGCATGGGCCAGCGACTAGCTAGTACACAAGTGACAAGTATGGCGACCAGATCGCTGTCATAGGGATTATTTTATATATGTAAATGCATTATAATTTTTCAATTGTTTTCATAGGTGGTAACACGCAGTCTCTGCAACTCCATGTTCCTTCTGCATCGAACCCAAGCACGACAGGTATAATGTCCTAAATTCAGCATTTCTTTCAAGCAGTTTTACTTTATAAATTCTGGTACTCAACGGAATCGGTGTGGTATTTGGCTGTGATTCAATTTGTTCCATGACAATGTTAGGCTAGTTCCGGTAGATATAATCTACCGTTAAAAATACAGTGTGATGATTAGAACTTGGATGCATTTTTGGTACAGGGTTGTGCTGAAATATTGTGATATTTTTCTACGGATATTAAGCGGTACTTACGGATAGTTGTGATGGTCCAGTGACTGTAGTTAGGCAAGAAAAAGTTGATCAATCATTTTCAACCGAATTTTTTTCTACGATTGAACTAGAATTGCCTAAAAATAAATATAAAATAAATTTATTTATCTGTATAAATTGAATTTCAATAAGTTTTTTGCTATACGAAACCTCGGATTATTGCTGATATTTTGACTGGGTTGCTGGACCGACTGGGTTAGACTGAATGGCACAATTGTCCCAAAAATGCGACCAAGTTACAAAAAAAATCGGATTCTAAAATTTTGTGGTGGGTACTAGAATTTCAGTACACAGAGTATCATTTTTCTTCTAGTCATTTTGAAGCTACCTCAGCAGTTTTCATTGTGATATACATATATATACATTTAGCAGTTGCTCTGTGCACTTACACATTTTATTTCCGGTAAAAAAATTATTGAATTGGAAAAAGAGTACAAAGGTAGTATTCCATTTGTTTCCTTTTATTTTTGAGTTTAATGTTTTTGTTTTACAATAGTTTTGTTTTACTTAGTAGTTGTTACTTTAACGTTCCCGCTGTTACAGCATCATATACTACTTTTTAAGTGCAAAGAAGTTATAGTTACTTATAATAAGTTTGGTTCCAATCTACTCTAATACATTCAAATACAAATAATATAAATGATAAGCAATGACGAAGTCTGCCATATATTGATGTAAAATTTCTTTTGCAAAATGATTAGGCTTATAGAATAAAAATCTTCACATGAATTTCTACGATTTGGCACATATTATAGCGTGGCACAAAAGTCCCGGAACGGCTCTGTATTTTTTCGGGTAAGATATTTTCTGAAAATACCAAGTTTAGATCTTCAGTAACTTTCAGCGACGAATTCAACTGTGACCTTGAATTGGACCTTGACCTTCAAGCTTAATTCATGGCCAACTTTATTTTTCTAATATAAATCCCTATTTTTGTTGCCGGCAATCAAAAATACAGAAATTTTTACATTGAAACACAATCAAAGTCCAAGGACTACTAAAGGTCAAATGAAGATCAAATGTGTGCTGCTAGGAACCCCTCTATAAATCTCACAGGATGAGTGATGAAAATAAGTATCGAAAGTCAGGTTTTTGGTAAATTTTATCGAGGAAGTGAACCTTGTATTTGACCTTGATTTTCACCTTCAAGATATTTCAAAGTGCACGTTATTTTTTTTAATGAAAATCCCTATTTTTGATGCCAGCAACCGAAAGAACGGAAAATTTTACGTTTAAATAAGAATTGAAGTCCAAGGTCAGGGTGTGATCTAAAGGTCAAATATGTGCTGCTAGGAAAACATCTATAAATCTCACAGGATTAGTAATGAAAATCAAGGTGGAGACTTTGGTAAATTTTAACGAGGGAGTGAACGATGATCTTGGATTTGACCTTGATCCTCACTTTCAAGGTCATTTCAAGGTCAACTTGAATTTTTTAATAGAAATTTCCATTGTTGATGCCGGCAATCGTAAATTTTGCGTTCAAATACGAATTGAAGGCCAAGGTTATGATGACCACTAAAGGCCAAATGGAGGTTAAATGTGTGCTGCTAGAAAACCCACTATAAATCTCATGATCAGTGATGTTCATAACTATCAAGGTCAGTTCCTTAGTAAATTTTGACGACTGATCCTGGATTTGAACCTTAACCGCACCTTCAAGGTCATTTCAATGTTATTTTATTCAAATAAAAACGCGCTGGAACAGTATCGGTTAAAAATTATTTGTTACGAGCACCGTAATTCCCCCGCTAAAACTTACCCAAAGTCAAGTTGATTTTTTTGATGCCGGCAATCGGAAGAGCGGGAAATTTTACATTCGAATATGCATTAAAAATCAAGATCCAGGTGACCTCTGCAGGTCAAATAGGTTAAATAAAGGTCAAATATGTGTTAGCTAGGTAAAAATCTAGAAATCTCACAGATATCGCAACGAAAATAACTGGTTAGGCCAGGTCTCTAGTAAATTTTCACAAGTAGATGTTATCTTGGATTTGACATTTAAAGTCATTTCAAGATCAAGTCTATTTTTCCAAATAGAAACGCTTATTTGATTCCAACAATCTAGAGAGCCGGAAATTTTATGTACAAATGTGTATGAGAACTCAAGGCCAAGGTGACCACTAGAGCATAAAGGCCAGATGTGAGCTGCTAGGGAAACTCACACGAATAGTGACGGAAATAACTGTCAAGATCAGATCTTTGGATAAGTTTTAACGAGAGAACTACGAACTACGGTGCTCGTTACAAATGGTTTTTAACCGATACTGTCTGCGGGTTTCTATTTGAAAAAAAAGATCTTGAAGGTGAATTTCAAGGTCAAATCCAAGATCACTGGTAAAAATTTACTACAGACCTGACCTTGATAGTTATTTTGAACGTAAAAATTTATGTTCTTTCGATTGCCGGTATCAAAAATAGGGGTTTCTATTTGAAAAAGTAAAGTTGACCGTAAACTAACCTTGAAGGTTAAGGTCAAATTCAATGTCACCTTTGAATTCCTTGCTGAAAGTTACTAAAAACCTGACGTTGATCTGTTCCAAAAATATCTTACCCAAGAAAACACAGAGCCGTTCCGGGACTTTTGTGTCACGCTTGTATATTTGAATATTCAGATTGGTAAAATATGAAACAAACATTTTTTCGCGTATGTAATATTACTATAGTTGTATCTTTTGCGTGTAAGAATTGTGTACGTGTTTTATATGTCTTCATTTGGTAATAGTACCTAAACACAGACTATTTTTTGAAGAGTTTTGTAAGAAGATCTATTTATTGGCTACATCTTTTATTTCTCACACAGTCAGGGCCTGCTACAGGTGGTGAGAAAGTGAGACAGTCGCCTCATGGTGTAGTATTATAGAGTGCGAAAAATTATCTTTAGAGTGGGGAACATATTTTATTCTTTGTGTTTGAAACGCTGAAGCCGGCCCTGCACACAGTAGCAAAAAATTAAATGAGTATTGGTACACTTTATAATTTATGTTTTTATACAGGGTGTCCGCAAAGTTGGGGTTTTCCTTTTCAGAAACAACTACCCTTGAAATAACAAAGGTAATGTGTAGTGAAACGAGGGCGACCAAGTAAAAAAAAATAAAGGAAAAAGTACTCACTCTCCAGTTGACGAGAAGGGCTAAGTACGTCTCTGCCCGAAATCATACCGCTCCAACAGAAAATGAAATCAGCTGATGCGCTAAAGAGCAGACGCCGGCGGTGGTGCAGACCACGAACAGAGGTAACAAATATGACGGCGTTTCTGCGTTTTCAGTTTTTAGGTAAACGTACTTTATAGGTATTGTTCGAAGTTATCGCCGTTTGATTCAAAAACACAGGAGCGTGCACGACGTAGCCAAGCATCGGTGCAGGCTTTGAGAATGGAGTCCCTCCCCCGAATGAAAGCACCAGCTTGTTCAATTCTGAGACGAAGTTCGCCAACCGTATGCACTTCAGTTTTGTACACTAAGCGTTTCATTTCTCCCCAAAGAAAAAAATCACATAGTGTTAAGTCTGGAGATCGCGGAGGCCACGCTACGTCCCGTCCAATCGATTTGGGAGAATAAATGGTCCAATGAGCATACCGTTCACCATGCCAGCCCAAACATTCACCGAAAATGTTTGTTGAAAATGTGCCCGACGGACAGCGTGCGGATTTTCTACTGACCAAACATGAGTGTTGCGAAAGTTATTCACCCCATTACGCGTGAACGTAGATTCGTCTGTCACCAATATGCACTTCAAAAAGTCCGGATTATTGTCATGTTGATGCAACAACCACTCACAAAACCGCACTCTTGCTGGAAAATCGTCAGGTTGAAGGGCTTGCCACGTCTCTAGTGCTTGTTGAGGGATTCTCGTCTACGCGATTACCTCTACAGGCGTGACCGTCGGTTGAAGGTTGCATACTGACCTGACACACTGACCCCGACCCAGTTCTGTCGTCGGGTTGAGATAGTGTCCTAGTACCACTCGGGGATGTCGCGGAACGCGGCTACAGGACGGTATTCAGATATTTTTGATGTTTCAGAGCCCTTTATCTCGGTTCCCTTAAGACATTGGTGTATATGGTACTAAGAAAAATTCCGTATGTTTTCAAGATCTACACATCGTGTAAAGGAAAACCCCAACTTTGCGGACATCCTGTAGTGGCGTTATGCCGAATGTTGGAACTGATCCATTTGATGGACAATTAATTTTCCTTAAACTCCTTGCAGACTAAAAATAAAATAAGTTTTTGAAACTATTTTTGTGTGTGTGTATCAAAACTCATCTATTGTGGAGTAAGACATTCTGCGCGAGTAGTATCATAGCATATAGCGTAATGGAATTGGCAGAGGAATTACAAAAATTGAATACAATTATTAAATTCGTAAATTGTGTTTCGTTTACAGTAGAAACTATAGCTATCATAGCTATAATGGCAAAAAGAAATACGAGGATTGTTCAATTGAAACCCATCTTTGGTACAGAAAAAATTTATTGACAAATATATACAAATAATTACCACTACAATTAAGGCACATTCCCATTGTTTCAACAATCGATGTATACCTGCTTAAAGAATTCTTGAGGCTGCTGCTTGAATAATTTTTTTACAGCATTTTGTAGTTCTTCGTCCGACTGAAAATGCTCACCTTTTAACGCCTTTTTCAGTGGCCCAAAGATGTGAAAATCCCAAAGGATAAATCGGGACTATAGGGTGGATGCTCTAATATCCTCCATTTCTTTTGTTGTAGATTTTCTTTCACTACTCTGGCAACATGAGGCCGAGCATATTTTCGTCTTATTGCTTGATGGAGATTGATCAGTTTCATTATACAGGTTTGCGTTGATATGGTTCTTCAAACTTTATGAACAAGGGCCCTTCATGGTCGAAAAAAAATGACATGACCTTGCCTGCAGTGTTTCCATTGCATCGATGACAGCTTACTGGATGGTTCAAAATAATGACACCAAGATTCGTCGCCACCAATTATTGACGAAAGAAAGTCATTACCGTTTTGCTTGTATTTTGCTTTAACCCAATTTGTGTACGATACTATGGACAGATCCTATACTCACACCAACATTTTCTAAAATTGCTCTGATTGAAATTAGCTTATCATTCGTATCCTCTTTTCCACTCTTAAATTTTCGTCACCATCCCTTGACAGTTGGATACGCAAAACATGCGATTCAATACATTGCTTGCATTCGCGTATGAATTTGCAATGGTTGCAAACCTTCAGCACATAAAAATTGAATGACCGCACACTGATTATATTTGGACACAAACGCCATTTTTAGGTAACGTTTACAAACGTCACTTAAGTGATTAGAATTGTTTCCAATGCAAACCTGGCCAAAGGTGGGTTTCAGTTGAACAAGCCTCGTATTATGGGTACTTATCGATTTTATTTGTTTAATCCTTTATAGGCATAGTACCATTTACCCCAAAAATAGTCTACGAGATAGAGTTCTGATATTCCTCTATATTTCGGTCTCATGATTCATCAGCTGA